TCTACCACCTCCTCACCCCCACCCCGAGGTCATTTTGGGGTTCTACCACCTCCATACCCCCAACCCAACGTCATTTTGGGGTCCCACCACCCTCCCACCCCCAACCCAACGTCATTTTGGGGTTCTACCACCTCCCCCGTCTCAACCCAACGTCATTTTGGGGTTCTACCACCTCCCCCGTCTCAACCCAACGTCATTTTGGGGTTCTACCACCTCCCCCGTCTCAACCCAACGTCATTTTGGGGTTCTACCACCTCCTCACCCCCACCCCGAGGTCATTTTGGGGTTCTACCACCTCCATACCCCCAACCCAACGTCATTTTGGAGTTCTACCACCTCCCCCCCACCCTGCCCTGGGACCTCCTGGTGACCCTTCCTCATCTCCATCATCTCCAGAACGCCATCATGTTTGGGAAGAAGCGGCACACGGACGTCCAGTTCTACACGGAGGTGGGGGAGATCACCACCGACCTGGGCAAGCACCAACACATGCACGACCGCGATGACCTCTACGCCGAGCAGGTCAGGAGATGTCCCACCTCACCTCAAACCCCCTTGAGATGCCACCAGGCCTCAAGGTGACCTCTCCATGTCCTCCTGAATCCCCCCCAGATGGAGCGGGAGATGCGCCACAAGCTCAAGACGGCCTTCAAGAACTTCATTGAGAAGGTGGAGGCCCTCACCAAGGAGGAGCTGGAGTTTGAGGTCCCCTTCCGGGAGTTGGGGTGAGCCCAGGGCTTTGGGGGGTCCCACCACCCATCTTTGAGGTCCCACCACCCCTTTTGAGGTCTCACCACCCTTCTTTGGGGTCCCACCACCCATTTTTGAGGTCCCACCACCCTTCTTTGGGGTCCCACCATCTTCTTTGAGAAGACAAGGTGGTTTTTTGGGGTCCCACCACCCCTTTTTGGGGTCCCACCAGACTATTTTTGGGGTCCCACCACCCCTTTTGAGGTCCCACCACCCTTCTTTGGGGTCCCACCACCCATCTTTGAGGTCCCACCATCTTCCTTGAGGTCCCACCACCCATTTTGGAGGTCCCACCACCCTTCTTTGGGGTCCCACCACCCATCTTTGAGGAGACAAGATGTGGTTTTGGGGTCCCACCATCTTCACTGAGGTCCCACCACCCCTTTTGAGGTCCCACCACCCTTCTTTGGGATCCCACCACCCTTCTTTGGGGTCCTACCACCCTTTTTTGGGGTCACACCATCCATCTTTGAGGTCCCACCACCCATCTTTGAGGAGACAAGACTTTTTTGGAGGTCCCACCACCCTTTCTTGGGGTCCCACCACCCCGTTTTGGGGTCCTACCACGCATCTTTGGGGTCCCACCACCTTTTTGGGGTCCCACCACCTTCTTTGAGGAGACAAAATGGTTTTTTGGGGTCCCACCATCTTCTTTGAGATCCCACCACCCTTTTTTGGGGTCCCACCACCCATCTTTGAGGTCCCACCACCCCTTTTGAGGTGCCACCAACATTTTTTAGGGTCCTACCACCTTTCTTGGGGTCTCACCACCCTTTTGGGGGTCCCACAAACATTTTTGGGGTGCCACCATCTTCTCTTCATCATTTTTTGGGGTGTCCTTGTGGGTTTGGGGCATCTCCATGGATTTTGGGGTCCTTTCATGGGTTTTGGGGTCTCCTCATAGTTTTGGGGCTCTCGTGGCTTTTTTGGGGTCTTCTCCTGGTTTTTGAGGGTCTCTTCATGGTTTTTTGGGGTCTACTCATAGTTTTTGGGGTCTCTTCATGGGTTTTGAGGGTCTCATGGTTTTTGGGGGTCTCCTCCTGTTTTTTTGGGGTCTCCTCATGGCTTTTGGGGGTCTCCTCGAGGTTTTTTGGGGTCTGCTCAAGGTTTTTTGGGGTCTCCTTATGGTTTTTTTTGGTCTCCTCGAGGTTTTTTGAGGTCTCCTCATAGTTTTTGGGCTGGCTCATGGCTTTCTTGGGGTCTCCATGATCTTTGGGGAGTCCCCTTTTGGTTTTGGGGGGTTTCCTCCTGGTCCTTGAAGGTCTCCTCATGGGTTTTGCGGTCTCCTCGTGGTTTTTGAGGTCTCCTCATGGCTTTTTGGGGTCTCCTCATGGTTTTTTGGGGTCTCCTCATGGCTTTTTGGGGCCTCCTTATGTTTTTTTGGGGTCTCTCTGGTCTTTGGGGGTTCCCCTCCTGGTCTTTGGGGATCTCCTCATGGTTTTTTGGGGTCTCCTCAAGGTTTTTGGGTGTCTCCTCATAGGTTTTTTTGGTCTTCTCCTGGTTTTTTGTGTCTCTCCATGGTTTTTGGGGGTTCCCTCATGGCTTTTTTGGGGTCTCCTCATGGCTTTTTGGGGTCTCCTTATGGTTTTTGGGTTGCCTCATGGCTTTTTTAGGGTCTCCATGGTTTTTCGGGTCCCCTCCTGGTCTTTGGGGGTCCCCTCCTGGTTTTTGGGAGTCTCCTCATGGCTTTTTTGGGACCTCCTCAAGGTTTTTGGGGTATCTCATGGCTTTGTTTGGGTCTCTCCATGGGTTTTTGGGGTCCCCTCATGGTTTTATGGGGTCTCCTCAAGGTTTTTGGGGTCTCCTCATGGTTTTATGGGGTCTCCTTATGGTTTTGGGGTCTCCTCAGGGGTTTTTTTTGGTCTCCTCCTGGTTTTTTGGGGTCTCCTCGTATTTTTTTGGCTGGCTCATGGCTTCCTTGGGGTCTCCATGATCTTTGGGGTGTCCCCTCCTGGTCTTTGGGGGTCTCCTCATGGGTTTTTGGGCTTTCCTCATGGCTCTTTTGGGATTTCCTCAAGGATTTTGGGGTCTTCTCACGGTTCTGGGGCTGTCTCAGGGCTTTTTTTGGGGTCTCCATGGTCTTTGGGGTGTCCCCTCCTGGTCTTTGGGGGTCTCCTCATGGTTTTTTGGGGTCTCCTCATGGGTTTTGGGGTCTTCTCAAGGTTTTTGAGGGGGTGTCTTCATGGTTTTATGGGGTGTTCTCATATTTTTAGGGCTGTCTCGTGGCTTTTGGGGGTCTCCATGGTCTTTGAGGGTCCCTTCCTGGTCTTTGGGGGTCCCCTCTTGGTTTTTGGCAGTTTCCTCCTGGTCCTTGAGGATCTCCTCATGTTTTTTGGGGTCTCCTCATGGCTTTTTAGGGTTTCCTCATCATTTTTGAGGGTCTCTTCGTGGGTTTTGGGGTCTCCTCAAGGTTTTTGAGGGTCTCCTCAAGGTTTTTTGGGGTCTCCTCATGGTTTTTTGGAGCATCCTCAAGGTTTTTGGGGTGTCTCATGGGGGTTTTTTTGGTCTCCTTAAGGTTTTTTGGGCTCTCCTCATGGCTTTTTTTGGTGTCCTCAAGGTTTTATGGGCCCTCCTCCTAGTTTTGGGGCTGTCTCATGGGTTTTTTTGGGGTCTCCATAGGTTTGGGGGAGTCCCCTCCTATTTTTTGGGGGGGGTTCTGATGTCTTTTTGGGTTTTTTCCCCCCCCCCAGCTTCAACGGCGCCCCGTACCGCAGCACCTGCCTTCTCCAACCCACCAGCAGCGCCTTGGTCAACTGCACCGAGTGGGTAAGTTGAGGTAGGCCGGGGTGGGGGGGGGGGGGGAAAACCCCCACTGGGGGGGG